TGGGCAATGCTATGCATGGACTGCACATGCTTTGGAAGGGAGCTCATGTTTTTCCCTCTGTTCTTCCCTTGTCAGCAAATCGGAGCAGGATGAATTCCCCTGATGTTGCTAAATACCACAAACATCCATTTCCACGTTCCAGGAGAGCCCTGACAGCGTGATGCAGCAAAGCACAAAACACACAGGGCTTTCTGCTACTTGTCAAAAAGGATTTTTGTCCCATTCCCCTTCCCTGGAGCTTTGTTGCTCCTCTAGAACACAGAGGCAGGAGCAGCTTCAGCTCCACCAGCGGCAGAAAACCAGGCAGGAGCAGCAGTTTTTGCAGCTGTGTGATTTAATCCTGCTTTAATCACCTAAATGACAGAAGAGTTTATCTTTCCTTCTTGGAATAAATGATGTTACAGAGCTGTGGTTTCAACGTGCAGGATTTCAGAACCTTAGGAGATTTATGAGTGTTTCAGCTCCTGAACATCTTTCTAAGCACCGACCTTCTGTTATCTGATCACAAACACTTGCACACCTGAAAACACAGGGAAGAGGGAAGACAGTTACTTATCCCACACCCATTTCTTGCTCTAATATTTTCACAACAGTTTTCAATCTGTTTTTCTTCCTGTGCTGCCAGAAACTACTCTTCCAGACTATTTCAGAAAGTAAAACCCATAAAAGCTTGACAAAGTATCACTGACTGGTGATTTTACCTACTGTTTGAGACCTCTTTTGTGAAAAGAGGATAAAAGCAGAGGGAAACAAGCTAAGAAAGGAAAATCTGGGAAAATCAACTCCTTGGCTTTTCTGAAAGCCTGAAACACTTTCAACTTAGATCCCTAACAGAGATCGGTTTGTTGGTGCTTCTGTCCTTTCCTCATTAACTGCTCTGGTTATTGAGTAACTCAGGCTGTACAAGATTCTTTCCCAGGAGGTTTCAGGCAGCCCAGTTGCTGTGACCTGCTTGGGGTAAGAGCACAGAGCAACTGGGACCTGCTGGGGGCTCTCTGGAGAGCTCAACAGCTGAGAACTGACACAAGCTCCTTGCTGTGGGACTGGGAGGGTGCTTGGAAATGCAGTTGCTGGACAGGGGAAGGCTATGGTAGCTGGAATGAGGAGGAATTTGTATGTTTGAGGAAACCTGCACAGGATTTGGGATGAACGTGATGGATGAGATTCTCTGTTTGCAATAGTTATAAAAACACAGTGTAATAAAAAAATAAAGAACAATCCAAAGCTGTTGGAGAGTGTCCAGAGGAGGGACACGGAGCTGGGGAAGGCTCTGAGGAGCAGCTGAGGGCACTTGGCTCGTTCAGCTGGAGCAGAGGAGACTGAGGGGAGGCTCCTCGGGGGCTGCAGCTCCTCCCGAGGGGAGGCGGAGGGGCAGGGGCTGAGCTCTGCTCTGGGACAGGGACAGGAGCCCAGGAAGGGCTGGAGCTGTGCCAGGGCTTGGGATGGATCTCAGGGCAAGGTTCTTCCCCCCGAGGCTGCTGGCACTGCCCAGGCTCCCCAGGGAATGGGCCCGGCCCCAAGGCTGCCAGAGCTCCAGGAGCTGCATTGATGATCCCTGAGGGATCCAGCTCAGGATCTTCTGGGACTCTGTGATTCTTCCCTGTGTTGAAAGCTGCTGTGCCACAGCAGAACTGGGCTGCTGTCAGGGTTCACTGCCCCCTGAATTAGATAATTCCAGGGACTGTGATGCCAAACTGGGAATGCAGCTGGAGCAACAACCCAGCTATAGAGTTCCTCTGCCACATGAAGGGCAATCATGGCAAACCAGGGGTGAAAAACCAGCTGGGGATGGCAACATCTCCAACTGCCTCAGCCATAATCCCAAAATTGTGAGTCAGAGGCTTCTGTGTGAGGATTTATGAATCAATGTCCCTGCTAAAGTGGAAGTCGGGCTATCTCAGCAAAACTGCAGCTGGAACTAATCCCCCGTGGTGTTTAACACAAACCCAGCACAGGTTGGTTGGGCTTTTGCAGTGTGCAGAGCTCCCAGAGCTCTCCAGGCACTCATCTGTGAAATGGAGTGATGGACCATGGAGGTGACAGGGATTCAAAGGGCAAAGCTGTTCCCAGTTCACAGGGAAGAGGAAACAGCTGCAGCGCTGATTCCCCTCACACAGAGCCATTATAAGGAATTACAGCAGGATTACTACAGAATTAATAAATGCCATTATTGGAAATAATGAAATTCATCACCGAATGCTAATGGGACCCTTCCACCCCCTGACACCTCCAGCCCCCAGCAGGAAAACCTTCCTAACACAACACACAAACCAGGAATTGCAAAACCTCCTCTAATATGCTCTGTGTGGTCCGGATATTCCGGAATTGCAGCTATCCCATTGTTTAAGGCTGGACTTTGGGTAATGCATTAAACAGAAGAGCTTCCCCTCCATAAATCAACACCCAAATCTCCAGAGTGAGGTGAACACAAGCTCCATTTATGTCGTGTTCTGGGAGCTAAGGGCAGATGCCTGCAGCAGGAAAAGGACTTTCTTCTCCTCCCTTTTACTTTCCAGGACTCCCAGATTTTTCCCTGGCTGCTGGCCAGGCCAGGCTTCTCCTCTGAGCTGCAGGAGAGCAGACACTGCTTTATTTTGGCAACGACACTTTGTTCCATCCCGGGTTATCCGAGCAGCTTCGGGACACAAAAGGTGGGTGGAGATTTAGACAATGATCCCTCTGCAAAGTGGAGCTGATCAATCCATTTTGCTCAGAGCTCCTGGATGGGGATATTTTCAAGCAAATAAAAATAAGATAGTAATAAAACCCCCTAAGAAATGGCTAAATGCAACTCTGGTAGCTGCAGGCAATAAAATAGGTGTGTTGTGGCCCGAGTTGATGAAGAAAAAAAGAAATGCAGCCATCTACAAGTTTTTTAATGGAAACTCATGATTTTTAAAAACCATTACAATGTATCTTCAGCAGCTTTCTTTGGTTCTATGAACACCTTTCCCCACTTAACTTACAAGGCATCCCTGCCTGCAAACACCATCACTTGCACCATTATTTTGAGTTCTCTTTCCATATATGATAAAACCCACTGCTCAGGATGTGCCTCTGCCTTGGTTTTCAGGCTGAAATGGTCAGAAATATCTGACAATTCCCAAACCCGTGGGAATGATGACCTATTTAGCTTTTTGTGCACATTTGCTGCTTTAAGAGGGATTTTGAAGGCTGACCCTCACCCCCATGAAGCTGTTTTCATCAATCCCATCCAGGAGAGCAGTGCAGGTGTCCTGTTTCCAAATTCCCCTCCTTTCCTCCGGACTGTTCTTGTTGTGGGACTGCAGAAAGACCCAACCACATCCCCAAACCTCAGATTTCCAAGCCCCTGGCAGGATGGAAAGCAGAGGGCATGGGTTGGCTGTTATAGGGATGAGCCCAACTTCTGCTCTGTAAATAATCAGGATTTACCCACTTCTTCATGAAGGCACAGCAAAAAAGCTTCATCTTTTTAACTTTTTTAATCTAAAAGACCATCACTGTCAACCATTCCCCACGCCTAGTCCCCTGTTGATCCATAAACCAACTGTTCCCCATCCCTATTCCCCTATAAATCCACGATTCAACCATTCCCCTATAAATCAACCATTTCCCATCCTTACTCCCTTATAAATCCATAAACCAACCCTTCTTCATCCCTATTTTGCTATAAATCCATGAACCAAGCTTTTCTCATCCCTATTTGACTGTAAATCCATGAACCAACCCTTCCCCATCCCTATTACCCTATTAATCCATAAAACGTCCATTCCTTATCTCTTTTCCACTATAAACCCATAAACTGTTACCCATCCCTATTCCCTTATAAATCCTTGACCTAACTATTCCCTATCCCTATTCCTTTATAAATCCAAAAAAGAACTATTCCCCATCCTTATTCCATCCTAAATCCACAAACCAACTATTCCGGATCCCTATTCCCCTATAAATCTATAAACCACAGCCAGGCCAAAGGGGACCAGCCCAAACACTCCCCACAAAACCAGGTCACAACCCCTGCCCGATCTTTCATGGACCCTCCCCACTACTTGTGGGGGGTTTATTATTAGTTTTTAATTACAAGTTTCCCTCAGCACCGAGCTTTGTGAGAAGCTCTGAGGGCGGCGATACCCCTGGGGGTCCCACAGGGGGTCCTGCTGCCGCCCCTCCGCTGTTTCCAGCCCCAGGGCTGCACCCTACGGGTCTGTCCGTGTTTTTCCATCTCTTTCCATGACTCTTCACGTCTCTCCCTCCCTGTGCTCCCTCGCACCCCGCTCCTCCCCCGGCCCCCCCGGTTACCTCAGCCGGGCGGGGCGCGGGCGCGGGACTCGAACCGGTGGCTCCGAGGGCAGTGAGGGGTTGCGGGGCGCCCGCCGGCCGGTGCCCCGCCAGGCCCCGCCCACCCGCGGCGCGCGCAGCCAATCACTCGCGGCTACCTCCCGCCTCCCGTGCGGCACCCCCCAGCAGATGTCCCGCCCCCGCGCTCCGCTCAGCCAATAGGCAGCGAGATAATCTAATAGACACCTAAACTGTTCAATAGGAGCAGTCTCCCCGTGGGAGGGCGCGGCGCGCGCTGAGGGGCGTGGTCTATGAGGGGGCGTGGCAGAGAGCGGGTATATAAGGAGGCACTGCGGCCGCCGCTGCCATTTTGTGTAGCTGCGCCTGAGGAGAGGGGGTGGAGGCGGCGGAGGGTTTCGGGGTTCGGACCAGAGCGGCCGGATGGTGAAATCCTCCCTGCAACGGATACTCAACAGCCACTGCTTCGCTAGAGAGAAAGAGGGGAATAAAAGCACCATCATGCCCGCTGTGCTGAGCCTCAGTACCGGACAGAGCAGGTGAGGCGCCGCGGCCTCCCTCAACCTCGCACCGCTGAGCACTCGCTGTCTCCTTCCTCTTCCTCATCCTCATTGTCGCCTCCCTGGTGGCCGGAGAGGGGCGGGGGGCGCTGCGTGGCCAGAGGGGGAGGGGCGGCCCGGCCCCCGCCGCGCGGGGAAAGGGGGTAGGGGAGGGTGGAAAAATCACAAAAAAAGGTGTTTTTGAGGCCCCAGAGCTGTCCCGGCCTTGGAGGGACCCCCGAGGGCCCCCCCGGGCTGGGAGAGGCTGGGGCAGGAACCGTGCTGGGGAGGGGGGGCGCCCGAGGGGAGAACAACAATTAGGCAAAGATATCGAAGGATTGAAGGCTGTTATCCCCTTATGTAACCCTGGATACTCCGCAAAACTAATCGAGGATAAGAGTGTTATGAGAGGTGTTGGTTAAAAAACTCAACCGAAAGATTAAATACCCCCCAGGTGCTGGGAAGAAAGAAAATACCTGAATTAAAGTGGCTGGTGTGGAGTGGTGGATGCTCAGGACATCAATTTGCCCTTTCCACCTCGTGTATAAACTGTGGAAGGAGTTTTTTAACCGTTTTTATATTTAACTGCGAGCTAAAGATGGTTTTTTTTCTCCCCAAGTGCACGTAAACATCACTAAAACATATTTGTGGCTGCAAACCTTCCTTCTGCACCACCTTCTTGGGCAGAAAGGTGAAAATGTTTTAAATTGTCACAGCACACCTTTGGAAAAGGTTTTTAAAGGTTTATTTGTAAGGGAAATTAGAAATGTATAGTTCACAGTTATTCTCAGATAAAAATAAATAATATTTGTACTAAAGAAAAATGTCTTTTTCAAAGAGCTTAAAATAATGGAGACTCAATTAAAATAACGCATTCAATTAGCGTAGATTTTTTTATTTTTAATAAAACTTCGTAATTGTTGTGCTTGCTTCACATTAAAATCTAAATATAGTTTACCTTCCAGTACATAATATTTAACCTCTCTGCCTATTCCCAGCCTTTCTAATACGGATTATTCATCACAAGTTTCAAGCTCATTAAACAACAAAAAAAAAAAATAAAAAAAAGGGGAAAAAAACCCCAAACCAATCCAAACCCCGTAACTCGGGTGCGAAGTGTGCAAAATGGTGGATTATTTTGTAGCTGTTTATTCGGATTTGCAAATGGCTGCAGTGGCTGCTGCTGGCACCCGGAGACAGGACGATTGTGAAAATTCCCCCAAGGGCCTCGATTGCTGCATCTGCTGAGATGACGCAACTCAAGAGTGGAGCCTGCGGGTGAAGGATGGTGCAGAGGGAGGGGCCAGCGCTGCTCTGCCACGGGAGGAGTGAAAACAGCCTTGAAAAGGATGGGGAGAAACTTAAACATATTCCCCACATCATCAAAAATACAGTTTATTTCTTGTCCAGTGCTGAGCGTTGTGGCATCGCTCTGAGGAATTCAGTGGGAAGAGGTTTGGAGGTGTTTTTGGAGGTTTTTGCAGAGATTCAGGTGTGGCTTCAGCTCAAGCTGAAAATACTGGAGGTGGAGATGATTCCCTGGAATTGCCTGGCCTCGAGCTGGGAAGGTCTGGTAGTGAATATCCCAGGGAAAAGTGATCCCTGCCCTGCTGGGCTGGGGGTTTGTGCTGCCTGAGAACAAGGAGGGCAGAAAACAGCACATTGCTGCAGAAAGGTTCTTCTGTGAGGTCAGATCAGGCCTGCCCTGGCACAGAAACACACCTGGCTCACTCAACCAGAGTATTTTCCATCTCCAAATGAGTCTTCACCCAAAATACTGCAGTGGCAGCTCCCTGGGCACTGTCCCTGCCCCTGGTGTGGAGCTTCCTTTGTCCTCCCACTGTAAGTGGGAGGAGTCCTGTGGCCTAGGTTTGTTTTGTTTTTAACAGTTTAAATCCTGGAAGTCCCAGGGCTTTGTCCAAGCCTCCCTGCTTGTCTAACCATGCTCTCTTTTCAGTTCCAGGGTTCCCTTCAATTGCTGTAGTAACCTGGGTCCGGGGCCTCGGTGGTGCTCCTGATGTCCCTCACCCACCCCTGAAGATCCCAGGTGGGCGAGGGAATAGTCAGAGGGATCACAATCTTTCAGCTAATTTATTTTATTCGGTGAGTATGGGGAACAAACAGCTCGTGGTGAGCATGACAGCATTCCCTGGCTCAATCCCTGCTTCAAAAATGAATGGAAAAATAACTCTGCCTTTCTCCCTGCTTCAGGATAATAGGCTGAATGTCACAGAAGAACTAACACCTAACAACAGGACAAGAATTCTCAATGTCCAGTCAAGGCTTACAGATGCCAAACACATCAGTTGGAGAGCAGTGCTGAACAACAGCAACCTCTACATTGAAATTCCCAGTGGTGCTCTGCCTGAGGGGAGCAAGGACAGGTGGGCCAGGGAAAACTTGACTGTGGATTAACGTGAGCCCTCTCAGTGGGGTGGGAGAGCACTTTGCTCTTTGTATTTTGAAAGCTTTTAATTTTGGTACTTGAGGCTCTCTTGTGAGCCTGGTTTCAGGGCTGCAGGCAGAACCAGCCCAAGGTCTGGGATTTTTTAGGCACTGAGAATTCCAGGCTGGTTGGAATCTGTCACTGCAGCTCCTTGGCTGTGTCACCAACACTTTCTGTGCCACTGAGGACTCCTGCCCTTGAGTTCTGCCTGGGGTTCGGGGATCTGGTGGTGTGAGGCTCCAGCCTGGGGGGAATCCTTAGGGATTCCTGTCTGGATTGGCTCTCAGGGCCTTGCTAAGTCTCTCTGAAGAAGCACTTGCTGCCAGAGCGTTGGGACAATGCTGAGGGTGGGATTGTTGTGCCTGTGCAGGGCCAGGATGATCCCTGTGGGTCCCTCCCATCCCAGGACATTTCCTGTTCCACAGACACTGAACCCCTGGTGTTTCTCTTGCAGTTTTGCAGTTCTTCTCGAGTTTGCTGAAGAACAGCTCCGAGTTGAGCACGTATTCATCTGTTTCCACAAGAACAGAGATGACAGAGGTGGGTGTTCCCTGTACCTCCAGAGACACAAAATGACTTGGTGGCAATTTAAGTTTTTTTTTTCCAGTATCCCATGGGTGAAACCTGTCTCCTTCTTTATTTTCTAGCTGCACTGATCCGTACTTTCAGCTTTTTGGGCTTTGAGATTGTGAGACCAGGGCATCCCCTTGTCCCCAAGAGACCAGATGCTTGCTTCATGGCCTACACGTTTGAAAGAGACTCAGCAGAAGAAGATTAGATTGCAATGTTTGCCTCTTTAGAGCTTTCTTGTTGTCTATAAAGATGATTCTGTAGAAATTTTGTCAACATCTTATTCCAGTCTATCTTAACTCTTGTACGAAACTTTGTGTGACCCAGCTGCTTTGGTGGTGAGATGTTGAAAATTTCAGACTCCACATCTTTCTCTGGATTTTGTGCGCATGTTGTGGTTGTGCAAAAATAAATGCTCCCTCCAAATTTAGCAGTATATTTCTTGAAGTTTAATATTGTGTTTGTGATACTGAAGTATTTGCTTTAATTCTAAATAAAAATTTATATTTTACTTTTTATTGCTGGTTTTAAGCTGTTTAAAGACTTGCACTCTTGAAGAGGTGTCTCTGGAACTGCCCCAACCATTAAAGTTGCAGGTGTGGAAAGGCTTTGCTCGTTCTTTGCTTGACTGGAACTCATGGATGTGCTCTGACAGGGCTTGGAATAATCCAGCAATCCTGGAAAAGTCTACTTCTAATGAATAATTAGCAGGTGTGGCAATTAGGACCAGTGCTTCCCTGCTCTGCCAGTGTTTTGTAGGGTATTCAGAGTGTGATTTGGTTGGGAAGTCTCAAGTGGAATGCGATCACCTCAGCCCATGGCTGCTTCAAATACCAAATACGTAACTTGAATACCTGGAATTTCAGTGTTCCCGTAAGTGCAGCCTTTCCAGTGTGTGCAGGGTGACTCCAGGAATTGTGAGCTGGGAAGGTCAGTGGTGTCACTGAGGCTGGGCAGGCTTCTTGGGGGGGCAGATTGTGGTTGAAGGGTGAGGAGGGGGCTGTGCTCGGGCTCCACAGATGCCCCTTGGTGTTCAGGATGGTGAGCAGAAGGGGAAAGAGCTCCTTGTGGTGCTGGAATTAACAAACCTTGAACTGAAGTTACAAGTAAGTCTCCAAAGGGGCTGAGATTTAAAGTGTGGTATTTCCACGGTTTTTGGTACTTGCAGGCTTGTTTGGCACTGCTGGAGCTGATGAATCTTTATAAAACCTTGGAGCAGGGAATCCCTGGGCTGGGTTTATTTCACAAGGTTCTGCTGGGTGTGGGTAGAAGTCCCTGAGTGGGGCCCTAGGAGATGTGAGTGCTGTGAACTGTGTGAGGGCATAAAGCTTCCCCCAGAGCCCATCCCTTGGCTCAGCAGTGCTGGAATCCCATGGAATACACTGAAATATTCCCTGAAACTCGGGGATGCAGCACAGAGTAGCCTGTGGGTGTGTGAGCAGTGATGTGGTGCAAATTGGGGGATCTTGCTGGGCTCTTTAATTGGCTCTTCCCAATTCTCTCCTGGCCCCACAGTTTTGCTCCTCCCGGAGGGATTTTTGGAAGGTTAGTGACAGGACTCTGGGAAACTGAACAAAACTGAGCTGGGGGAGGTTTGGGATGGATCTCAGGGCAAGGTTCTTCCCCCCGAGGCTGCTGGCACTGCCCAGGCTCCCCAGGGAATGGGCCCGGCCCCAAGGCTGCCAGAGCTCCAGGAGCGTTTGGACAGCGCTCTCAGGGATGCTCAGGGTGGGCTTGTTGGGGGGTCTGGGCAGGGCCAGGGGCTGCACTGATCATCCCTGGGGGTCCCTCACAGCTCAGGATATTCCAAGATTTCACTGTGGTGACATGACCAGGGGTGGGTGTCCTTGTTTTGCTCGACAGGCTGGCACAGGTCTGAACTTCCTGTGCTGGTTATCTGGAAAAATCCATTTTCCTCTGCAGCGTGGTACCAGTGCCATGCTCTGCTCTCTGTGTGGAAAGTGCCTGTCTCTGCCTCCATGGGATGTTTTGCTGAATTTGGATACTCCTGGCAGGAGAGGAGGGGGTCACCCACTCTGGAAATCAGAACAGGGCTGCTGTGGATCTGCCAGCCAGGCTGGGCTGGGCCTGCAGGAGCCATAGGAGCTGTTTGCCTTTGTCTCCCTGCATGAGAGGCTGTGCCACGGCCTTTACTGTGCTCTGGTAGCCATGGCAAATACTGCAGGAGAGACAGGGACAGCGGGGCTGGGCCCTCCCAGGGCCCCCAGTGCTGGCCTGAGAGCCTGGAACGAGATGTGAACCCCACTTTTGTGCCAGGGTCAGTGGGGCCCAGCCTGGGCACGGAGGCTGCACTGGAGGATTGGGGTGCTGCTCCAGGTGGGAGCAAACCAACCAGAGAGCTGGGACTGAGATGCTCTCTGCAGCTTGAGAGGGTTCCAGCTCTGCATTATTTTTGGTTTTTGGAGCTCAGGGACTCCTAGGAGGGAGGAATCCTCCACTCCAGCCATGCCCCAGGCTCTGGTGACCACCTGGGGAGCCACAGGAGCTGTGGGGAGGCTCTGTCCCACTGTGTGCACAGCCCTGCTGCTGTCAGGTGATGGAGTCACTCAATTATGGAATTGTTTAGGTTGGAAAAGCCTCCTAAAATTGAGTCTGACATTACCCCATCACCACTAAACCATGTCCCCAAGTGCCACATCCACACGTTGTTTGAAGTCTTCCAGGAATGGTGACTCCAGCACTGCCCTGGGCAGCCTGTGCTGATGCCTGATCACTCTTTCAGTGAAGGAATTTTTCCTGGTACCCAGTCTGAGTGGATTAATAATTGCTGAGGAATAATTTAAATGACCTGAGCAGAACCTTCACCATGCTGGTCCCTTGGCATCCACATGAATTTGGGTCTGGGTCCCATGTGTTGCCAAGTGTTTCACAGCCAGGAGTTGATGCCACAGCCCTGCCTTGGAGCCCATGAACTCACCTGAGCTGTTCACCAGAGCCCGTGGAGGCTGTTCTGGGTAATCACCACCAGGCAGGGCAGTTTGGCTTTGTGTTTCCCTCTGGATCCATTCCTGGAGTGTGTA